TAGTATCAGCAAGGTCATCTGCCTAACTATCCATAAAGTCAGTTGTGGCGACTTGGTGGATAAATCTAACAAAAACAAATGTCACGTATTACAATATTCACCCTCTCATTGTCCATTTTTTTTAAACGATACCAACACTCATTTATTTGTTTTATTATATAAAATCCTTAGAAACTCTTCATAAGTTTAAGGTAAAAAGCCTCGATTACCCTATTTCTTTAAAATTTTACTAAATTGTGTAAATTCTTGATTTACACCAGTCTGTGGACGTTCTAATTTTCTTAATATCGATTATGCCAAGATTTTTTGTTTAATTATATTTCAATGTCACTTAAATAGAATTGCTCTTTGAACAATTCTTAAAACTTTTCCTTGCAATAACATTTGGTCCCAAGATTGGGAGAATGTACTGTCTTTAATGGGAAATAACCATAATTTTTGTTGAAAATGCGTTTATTTTGACCATTTGATTTCCATCTCGAAATCGATCTTAAAACAGGTGGTAAAATAGACTAGCACAAACCTTCATGCTATAGTATATTATATTAAAATAATTCAATAAATTATTATGTTTGCTCCTAACGCCACCTGCTTACGTATCAACAAAGTTACTCTGTATATTTCATCTGCATTGCTGCCAAGCATACGTCATTTACTTCGCTTCAAAAAATTTTCGTAGGTAACCTCAAAAAAAAAACGTATGTTCAACTAAAATTGACAATAAATAACATAAAAATACAACAAGAAAATAGAGAACCACATTGAGAAAAAGTTTCGAAAACATAAAACAACCACCTCGGTAGAGCAGAAAGCAGAGTAACTTTGAAATAGAATTTTTCTATTAAAACAAATTCTCATGGCCAGCGGATCAGTGCTCGCTTAAGGTTCAACTCTTTGTAAAGACAATCAAACTGACTTAATACAGTAACAAAGCAGGTATTAGTTTAGAAAACTTAATATTTTGTTTCGTATCTTTTTTTTCTTTTTTCTCATTTCTGTATGTTTTTTCCAATGGTTAGCTTTAGAGTTGTTTTAAATATCAGTGTCACAAAATTTTTTACGAAAAAAATCTCAAGTCCGATGAAGTTTGAACGAGCGACCGTCCAAATTTGTTATTTTGGTCTATCCGCTACGCTATCAAGGTAGTTGTTTTGTATTTTAAAGACTTAGTTTATAAACTTCTTTCGATCTAAAGGCTGAAACTCAGAATCTAGCTAAATAATATATAAAGTGACCTTAATGAAAGAAATATTTTATTATTTAAGTGTCTTGTGTTTAAACATATTAAAATATGAAGATAAAAATAATTGTGAAGAGACTTATAAACAACATCACAGTTCATCTAGAAGGCACAATTGTTCTGCCCTTTATGTCTAAAAGTATATGTTCCTGTCACACTATTGGTGCATATTAGAAGACACATTTCACCCTATTGGTGCTCGTCAGATAAGGATGGGAAGCCAAATTCGAAGAGATAAAGGCGAACATCTTAGCTAAAATTTCAACTAAGGCGTGAACAAATATATATGAGTGCCATCTAGCTTGAATTACAGGAAATAAAAACGAAGTGTCTTTAAACTATGTAGCGATTCTTTAAAACTTTTAATGTGTCAGACACAAATTTTTATAATCCGTTTTTAAAAGAAAATTACAGAAATTTATTTCTGGATGATTAAGGTCTTTTGAACGTCATAGTTAAGTAAAAATCATATTCCAAAAGACTATGAAATGCCCAAAACTTATAGAACGCAATTATAAAATGGGGTGCGAATTTATTCTTTTGCAGTAAAAGTAAAAAGAAATAAATTAGGGTAATCTTGTTTGGTACCAATGTTGCCATTTGCAGTATATTGTCACCTGTAAGCCCACGTAATCTACTTTAAAACTTGATGTTTAAATTACGTTTAATTCTGACATAGAAATAGAATCTAAAAAAACACGTACCTGTCGCGAAGTACTGCTCGCCATACTCTATGTACCAATATTTTAAGAACTTTCTCCAAATTAATATGTCATAGGAAAGATCACATGTGGACCATGTATTCTTCTTTAGTTGTAAATATATTTAGTTTCCTATATTCCTTGTTTTTGGGGCGCCCTTTCTGTTCAAAATGTTGGCAATCATCAATACAATATAAACTTTGTCGTTTTACTACGAAATAGTTCCATCCACGTTACTTTAAACTATTTGAACAAATTAGAAACCCAGGGATCCTTCTTCGTCCGAAATTTCTCTCTCCGACAATATTTCCTTTGATAATAACCGATCTGGTCGTCCCTCATAATATGACCCAGGTATTTCATGCTTTTTTTCGAATTTATAAAAGATAAAACATGTGGTGGCTAAAATTCTTTCATTATGTCGTGGTATTTGACCCCGTGTGTAATAGGTTGACCGCACAAATTGTATACTACACTTGTTTTACAAAACTTTTAAACTTCGGAGTAAATTTAGATCGCTAATATCACATCACCAGGTTAGTGTCCAACCAGTATATTTCAAATTTTACCACATGGCATTTAAACAGTAGCGAATTTTTAGAAAGAACAAAATTAAATATTTTGGACATAAAATTACATATGCAAAATAAGACAAATTCTATAGGAAACTTCGTAATAGAGAAACCGTTAATAAACTTCTTCTTTTTATGTAGACATGAGTCGGTCTTTTTTTCAATGTGCCTCCAATAAGTTGTTGTTTTCGTGGTCTTCCTATTGGGGAACAGTCTCTTGTCATCTTTACTAATCTATTTGTTGTCATTCGGCTTATATGATCGTTCCATTCTACTCTTTTATTTCTTACCAAGTCCTTGAGGTTCTCCACCTTACTCCTACGTCGTATATCTGTATTTCTAGCTCTGTCCCATAGTGCTTAACCATGAATGTTTTTAAATGTTTTTAACTCTGCTGTATCTAACATCTTTTTGTCCTTTCTGTGTTAGGTCGTGTTTCTGATGGGTGTGTCCCTATTGATCTGATGACTGTTTTGTAAAATCTGCCTTTCATTTCTTTCTCGATATATTTATTTCTCAATATTGTTTCATTCAGGCAACCTGCGGCTCTGTTTGCTGTATTGACTTGATCTTCCACTTGTTCAATCACAAATGAATCCCTTAATTTGTAATCTCACATTATTCTTAACTTCTTAACCTTTTATGGTTTCAACGTGTATAATTGAGACATTGTGAAAACTTATCGAGTAATTTTTAATAATTAGAGTCCATTCACTGCCATCCATCCACTGTCCAGTACCTGCACTTAATAAATTGTCGAATAATATATTTTTCTAATTGAACTTTCTAAGTGTTACCATAAGGACCTAGATTAAATTGTATTCTAAGCTCATAGTTCAATGTTTCTTAGTATGATATAAGTATTAACCTCTGTACTGAGGTATACATTATTTTTGTAATTATAAATTGGAGATTTGAGCTCATTTGAGCGTAGTCTATTATAGAAAGTTACCTAACTAACATCTATAGTGTAATTATCAGTAGCTGTCAATAAAACCATAATTTTTACTCCACGACTTCAACATTTTATTATACTACCATCGTCAATCGAAAAGAATCGGACAAAGGGGCATTAGAAAACAATTCGATCCTGATATTTCGGATCTGTCCACCACTTCTGATTCGAGCTTTTCGTAGCTAGATTATATGATGCCAAAATATTTAAAGTCATTCACTTGTTCTATTATCTGACCATCCATCTTCCATTGACACCTTCCAGCTTCAATTGATCTTTCACAGTCAATTCAACAATAATCTTTTGACAAAATCTGATAAAATTTCCACCATTCAGCCAAAAACCTTCTTGGTCTGTCACTGGTTTCTACGAGTGGTTGTAAGCGAGATAGAATTTTGAGCTGGCTTGATTGTCTGTTTATAAATATCTGTATAAATATACAAAGGAAATTTAATGTTGGAAGAACTAAAGTGAATCATATTCTGAAGAGTGAAGTAAATTAAATAAGTTGCAACATTGAAATTACGGTAGCATTATATAGTACAACTCTCAATTTCGTATATACTTTTTCATTATATATTTCGTATACATATCAAAAGCAGCCATGCTTATTAAAAAAATATTCAATACATTGAATAATAGGCAACAAATTCAATAATAGGCATCTTATTAACAGCAAAACCTTTAGAAAATGATCACGGCCACTTTTTAACAAACACATATTGACAAAATCTGATCTACCATCCGTTTGTAAAAATGATTGTAAATAATTATTGGAGGTTGACTTGGTTGTATGTTGTATATTTTCAGGTACGTGTATAAATATGTACAGGAAGTATTGTCGTCCGTTTTAGGTTAGATAACTTTATACTTTTAAAATACGTGACCTCTTTAGCGAAATGGACGTTACAGCAATTAAAAACAGCATTATTACCACTACAAGTTTGTGAACATCAGAACTGAATTGATCCTAGATCATAAATACTGAAAATACTTTATATAGAAAAAAAAAACGTCGTACGTTTTTACCATTTACGAAAACCATTTTACACAAATAAAAATAAAATAAAACAATAAAATAAATATTGTATAGGTGTATTTGCAAAATAAACAGTATTTGATGGTGCATAATCAGTTGTTTTTAAATCTCTTCAAAATTCTACAACAGTTTATTTCTTAAGAGAAACTTAAATATATAAACAAAAAATCTACAGCAGACTGTTAAAATTCATTCTCCCACGCGACTCACAGACCGTAATTTTTCCGCGAAGAACGTCAGTTCTTCTTCTCGTAACGATTCCGATTAATTTAAAGTTTCAAGTCCCAATTACAATAGGGAAATCAGTTAAGAATATAATAATTTACAATAAATGTACAAATTAAAAAATGTAATATAAATAATTTGTAAATGTACTATAATCTGAGTCTTCAAGTTAAATGAAAATTGATTTGATAAAAAACACGATTGATTAATGTCCACTTTTATTATCCGATGCACTACGGGGCTTTCTTCTCGTCGCAATGAGACGTCATCAGTTGCTATCATGTTCCTGCACGTGATTCGCCGATTCGATATGGATTTCCGGTTCCGATGGCGGCTTGAACGCCGCTGTATAGGGAAATCTGGCGTTGCACCTTTTTGTGTATTCTTCTAATTGAGCGTCACAGCTACCGAAGTCGCCGTTGGTAAGGGATTTGAGAATATCTGTACAAACCTACGAAACAAAAAACAATATTAACAACAATTTTACATGAAATTGCATTAAAGTAATGATAATTTTCTAAATACAGCAAAATTTTATAAGTCCAGCATGCAAATATCGAGTCATTCACACATCACAGACGTTGACTCATTTTCATTTACTGTTTTTCTTCTTCTTCTTCCTCATTATAAGCAATTATGCTTGTTTATTGGCGGACTATTATATGGAAGGTTGTGACTCATCTTTTCTTCTTTGCTGATTACTATTGTTTTAGTTGTCTAAGATGAGATTGTCATATTAAATTCTTTTGCTCTTATGTTAAATCTGTGGACTAGGTTTTGCAGATTATCTTCATCTTGGGCTATCAATATTGCATCGCCTGTGTAACCGAGTATTTTTATTTCGTTGTTTCCCATTTTATATCCTGTTCCTTTGTTAACGCTTTTGATGATTTCATCTATGATTAAATTTAAGAGCATAGGACTTATTGCTTGTAATTCGCTGGTCATATTCCGCTGCCTATTTCTATAGGTTCTGTAAGTTGGCCAGCTATTCTGACTTCCATTTTGTTGTTTTGCTAGATGTTTTCGATAGTTTTTGTAATATTTAGGAGAGCTTCTCTATTATACAGAAGATGGATTACATCTTTGAGTCTTAGGGCCGATTGTTCGAACGCTGATCAAAACTTGATTGTAATCAAGTATTAAAATTACAATCAAATACGCCAGAGCAGCTGTCAAAATTATTAAAAATTGCTTATTATTATTGATTTGTAAATAAAAACATGAAATTAACATTAGAAAGAGTTTAATTATGGTTTATTTTAAATTATAACACAAAATAATAAAATTGAATAAAATAAATCAGTCAACATAACCCCAAAATGTGACGTATTTGATTTTAATTAAATATTTGATTACAATTAAGTTTTGATTAGCGTTTGAACAATTGGCCCTTACTCTGTCAAACGATTTCTTCAAGTCAATCAGACACAGAAATGCTGGTCTCTTATATGTTAGTCATTTCTCAGTAATTTGCTTTATAACGAATATTGCATCTGTACACGATCTTGCACTACGAAAACTCTGTTAGTTGTAAGTTTTAGGGTAGTATTTAACAATTTTATATCTGTAGTTTTCTGGCTGTTTTTTTATTTCCTTTTTTGAATAGTAGAATTAGATCACTCGTTCTCCATTCTTCCGATATTTTGTGTTTTTTTGTAATGTTAATTGTTCTGTAATTGCTACTCCACAACATTTTAGTAATTCGTTTGGTATCCCATCTTTACCTGCTGCTTTTCTGTTCTTCAGCGTTTCAAGTATTTTACGAACTTCGTGTACATTTATATTAAGTTCTTTATTTGCGGAAATTTCTAGTGTTTTCAGTTCTAGCGTCGTTTGATCTTCATCTGCATAGAGGCTTTTTATGTAGTCAATCCACGTATCATTTTCTATGTGTTTTGGTTCTATTAGTTCCTTTACCTCCATTCTTTGCCCTCTTAAGGCGCCCACTCACCAAGAAGGAAGAATGCGCAATTAAGTCTCTGCATGTTTGCTGTAAGGTAAACCCGTATGCTCCACGCCGGCATACACCAGTACTTTTGCTTTCAGTTTAGAAGTACGGTTAAAGTGAACATGACGTCAAAAAACGATCTTTTATTAATGGCAGTGGCGTGTGTTTGTATTAAAGAAAGGTGTCGTATTAAAAGAAAACCAAGGTAGCAATGGACAAACTCTTGGTTACAAAAGCGAGCTACGTACTCTCATGTCAGTTTACTGGACGAATTGCGACTGGATTCATCAAATTGGCATAATTACTTGAGAATGGATCAAGATACGTATTTTGAACTATTATCTGTAGTAACTCTTTTGATACAAAAACAGGACACGCGAATGTGGCAGGCTATACCGGCACATGAAAGGCTAACTGCTACATTAAGATTTTTGGCAACGGGAAGGAGCTATGATGACTTAAAATTTTCAACAATAATTTCAGCTCAGGCATTAGGTCGAATTATTCCGGAAACATGTGAAGCAATATGTCGTGTATTACAAAAGGAAGTAATAAAGGTAAGTTGATATGCAATGTACATTTTTTTTTTCATTAGAAAAAATAATCTTACCTATATAAAATTTCTTTTCATTGAGATTTTCAATAAAGACAAAGAACTAAAAACACAAAAACTGAAACTAGAATCGGTACAGATCATACTAAAAATATTATTATTTCCAAAAAATATCTTTTACAAATTGCAGAAATCAGTATTATTAGAAAAATTCTTATAATATGTAGCAACATAATTGGATTGTTGACCCATTGAGCTCGATATCTGATTATTGACTTGTTATTGACTTTCACATTGAGGTAATGCAGACACAAGTGGCATATTTACCGAAAGAATAGAATTTTCATTAAGCCTTCCTAGTTCTGCATTGTAAAGTATATCATTAAACAACTTTTCTGCAAAAATCCTTGTGTTGGTAGGTCTTCTCAATTTGCAGGCTATATTCTTTCCTATTCGATCACTGTATGCTTTATTTTTAATCTGCCATAAACAGGGATAACTTCTGTATAGTTCTATGAATTCCGTAATAAACTCTCTCGACATACACCTTATATCACTCATGGTTTTTAATTAAAAATCACTCATAGTGTTTGTTTTCTCATAAAATTATAAAATGTTTATGCAGTCGTACAGCACTGATTGAAAATGAGACATGCAGAGACTTGTTGCCCGTACACTCTCATTCTTCCCTGCGCGATGATAATTGCACACGCTAAAAATCAAGATGATCCTGATTTTGAGAGGCTTGGTTGCGCATTCCACATTTTTCGCCATACACACACACTTTTAACTGTACCCCGTGCCATGCACATTCAATCCTTCGCGCTTCCTTCTGAGTGAGTGGGCGCCTTTATAAAGCGCCATATTTCCTATTGCAGACCGTAAAAATCATGTTCCATTTCTTTCGACAAGCGTTCCCAGTAATCATTTTTTATTTTTTTTTACAAGTGCATGTGTTTGGTTTCTAATTGTCTTGTAATTATGGTATGTCTCTTGTGTTGTGGTTGACATGTATTTCAGGTAAGCTTTTTTCTTTTCTCTACATTTTTCCTTCACATCTGTACAAAACCATTGAGTTCGCCTTGGGAACGATTTATTTATATTTATATTTCTTTCACCAAGAACTTCCTTGGCCGAGGCTAAAATATTAGACTTAATTTTTGCCCAGCTTTCTTCGACTCCATCATTTTCTGTGACATATGTCTTTCTGCTTTTTTCGGTGGTGTTTTGTTATCACATATGTGTTTTGATTCGGATTTTGCACAATACCAATTTAGATCGCTTCCTATTTCTGCTGTTAGTGCCCTTTCATCCAAGATTTGAAAGGGGTGTAACTCTGTATTCGACAAAATCTAGTCTATCACAGATCTTTGTCCTTTACAGTTTTCAAAAGTGTATTTGTATTGTTCTTTGTGAGGGCAAAATATTCTAGCGCTTCAACAAGTTTCTTTCTGTTTATTGTATCATACTATTTATCAATTTCCTATCAAAATCGATAAACAACCTGTTTAAGGCTAAATTAATAATATTTGTTTCATTCTAAAAAATTGGTCTATTAGTTCTACAACGACTCATTTTTTGTGTATTAAGCTTTGAAGAGTTTCTTTACAATGCTTGGGTGTTTGTCCTTTGATCCACACTTCATCTATTACTTGTTGTTTTTTAAGTTTTTTATTAGAATAACGATTTCCTTTTTGGCAGATGTTTCACTATCGTTTTGGTCTATTACTATTTCATCCAGTAGCTGCAGTTTGTTGGCTTTGATCTTGATCCTCTGCATACAATATATTTTGAAAATATTTGGAACATATTTTTCTTCCTATTGTGACAAAACTGTACATTCGAAAATTTGCAAAAAATTCATGAGTATTTCTTAGAATTATATCTCCATGCTGTAAACGTATTATTAACAAAATTAACAAAAACGTATGTTTGGTTTTCCCGCTTTATACTTGGAAAAAAGTAGTTTTTTGAGTTTTTTCAAAAATGAAAACATAAAGATTGCTTAAAATTTGTCAAAACACCTTCTCACTTGTTAATGTTGTCTTTGGGGTTAATTGTTGCATCAACTAATCTTAAAAATGCATATGAAAAATCTAGATCCCTCGGATTTCTTTCTCTGTTCAAAAGTGTGATGCTTTTGCACCTCTGTAATAAATTATTTGCAACAACTTGAAGATGATTCGTATATGCTATAAAGAGTATCAGGTTAGTTACTGGATATATAAGAATGTAAATTTTGGATATAAAACTTAGAGATAATAGATATTAAAAGATATTAAGATGATAATTATTACACAAGTATGTAGATAAATAAAGAAAAGATAATATTCATTTAGCACACTTACTTCAATATTTACATCATGATATTTATTGTCCAGACTAGTAGCCAAGCTGATCGCTTCGTTTTGCCTCTTCTTGTCCAATTCATACATAACCTTCGCACCTTCAAGCACAGCCCCGAGACTATTAGAGTTCTTCTCCAAAAATTCCTTATTTAAACTAACGGCATCTTTACCTTCTAGATAGACTTTGGTCTCTTGAGTTATCACTTGATCTACATTGGGATCCCACGAGCTTTTGTTTTTTTGTACGAACTGGTAGAAACGGATTAGACAACTGTGCAATTTCGGGTTCTTCGGATCCACTTTGTAGGCTCGCTTTAACGATTGTAACATTAAAAGAGATTTTTCTGAAAATAACATTCAATTAAATATCTGTTAAATACTATTTACTATCTAAACTCCTGGACAAAATTAACGTACCACTCATATTTTTCTCAATAATCTTTATTGATAATTTACTGTACGAAAAGTTGCCTATAGACCTTGTTTGACAGTGACAGTTGTTGTGAGCTAATAATAGTCTTGTTTTAACAATAATTTGTATTAAACTTCGTTTTAAACTAAAAGTGAGTTAAACTTTTTATAAAAAGTGCCGATTAAAGCAAAGTACTTGTGAGAAACAAACTTTTTATTATGATATTTTTTATCACATGCATGTTTGGAAGTTTACTTGCATCAAAATCAAATAAAAAAATGAACCGCCAAAGAAATTTGTCAATGGAGGAGGCAGTGCGAGCATCGACTCTCCTAGATGAAGGATATTCAATGCGATACGTTTCAGGTTTATTAGGAAGACATCATTCCAGGATCAGTCGCAAGGTGAGCCGATATATTGAAACAGGGTCGTACCATCGAAGACCAGGGCAAGGGCGAAAACGTTGCACTAATCAAATTGATGATCGTTTTTTGAGACAACGTGCTCTAGCAAATGTTCGAAATGTCGCGATATCGTCTCAAACAGTTAGAAGACGTTTACACGAAGCAGAATTGAGCAACAGGAAACCGGCCAAAAAACCCTTGCTTACCAGAGAACACAGGGTTCAGATATTGAATTTTGCAAGATTGCAAGTTCTTTTCACCGATGAGACTAGAGTAAGCCTTAAAGATCTAGATGGTCGTGAGCGTGTCTGGCGAAGGCGAGGAGAAAGGTTTGCCAGCTGCAATATCTCTCCTAAAGTACTTTTTGGTGGTGGCTCTAAAATGTTTTGGGGGGAATTTGTTTTGAAGCTCGTACGGAGTTAGTCCCAATACGTACAAGGTCTATTAATGCCCATTATTACTTAGACAACATTATTGTCGAACATGTAATGCCTTTTGCTCAGTTTCTTGGACCAAATTTTTGTATTCATGCAAGACAACGCTCGTTCTCATGTGGCTGGACAGGTTATTGGCTACCTAAATGATATTGACATTCCATTATTAGAGTGGCCACCTAACACAGTCACAGTCCGGACATGAATCCTATAAAGCATCTTTGGGACTATCTCAAAAAAAAAGATTTGAAGTCGTGGACCCCCTATTGCCAATCACAACCAACTCATTGAGGCCGTTATTGAAGAATGGGAGAATATTCCGCAAGCTTTTGTTGAACATTTGATATCAAGCATGCCTAGACACATAAATGCAGTTATAAGAAGTAAAGGATGGCCTACACGGTATTAGTGTTGACCAGATACATTTTATTGTGTTACTTTACTGGTTCTTTTTGCAATTTGAAGTTATGCTAGCTTATTTACGCATTTCTGGCAAAAACAAATTTTTAAAGAAACAATAAGGTCGTGATAAAGTCATGTTGGACTTATTTGTAGGTGTTTATTATTATATCAATGTAGCTTAGTTTTATTTTGTGTTCATATTGTAAATATTTAGATTAATTAAAGTGGTGCGTTAATTTTGTCCATGTGTTTATATATCTATTAAATAGTCAGTAGAATTTGATATAGAATACACAAAAAATAAGTTTGCTTGCAGTATGGATATTACGATAATATATTGCGATTTTCTCCTGGTATTCTTCTCAGCCAGAGGAACAGCAGAAACCTAGATTGGGTATGACGCTGGATAAAAGGGTCTAGATAAATGTGTGTAGGGATCGCACATTCCAGGGAAATAAACAAATACCTGACTATTTTCTACAGAGAAAAGCTTATTTCCTTCGACCATCAACTTAAAAAAACAATGCAGATACATTAAAACTCTGCAAAAATTGTAATTACTTAGGCCCACAAATCCACAAACATGAAAAGTATGAATACATAATTACCGACAGAATTTAGGAGCATTAAACTCAACCATTTGCCAAAAAAGTATAGAAAATGACAAAAGTGTCTATAATATGATTCTCTTACTAAAAAAATCAAGTACGCTTTTGCAAGCTTTGGTAATTCTATCGTCGAACAGAACATAAGCTACTGGCAATCGAAACAGAATAATAAATGAAGACATCGAAAGAATGCTCGGAAGAGAAAGAACTTTTATTAAAGATATACGTGTGAAACAACTCATATGACACGGATAAATAAACAGAATGGGCGAAGATCGTATATCAAAACGAATAATAATCGAACAAAAGACAGGAAAACAAGGCACCCAAGAGAAACTTGACAACAAAAGAGTCAACCCTATGAGCAAAAAAGGACAAGGAAAGGTGAACAAATGCACAGTAAACAAATTAAACTGGGAGTTAGAAGTCGATCATATTCGCTACAAACCTATAGTAAAAGAACATAAGGCTATTTGTTTCGTTTTTCATATAAATTTATCACAGGAAAATCCTATGAATGAATTATTCATGACTGATGAAAGATCACAAGCAAATTAAATATAGTTTGTATACATACGTTTTCTATAATATACTTCAAATGCCATTAGATGGGTTTCTATTCTGTCTTTGGCTAATGTTTGTAAAGGCTGTAGGAATTTTATAGCTTGTTCTAATGGATCATCAACCTAAAAAATAACAATATTAACACTTTTTAGACATTATAAGAACAGTACGACAAAATAAAATAAGAAAATTGTTATTGTTGGTTTAACCACTATGCTATAAATCTAATACAACATTATACGTTGTTATAAACCCGCACATTTTTATGAAGGCGTCAGGTACCATTAAAGTATGATTATTCCCCCTTGCTTATTCGTTTGATCTGCTGATTTCAAGAAGCCTTCTTCTTCTTCTTATGGTGCCCTATCCAATTAGTGGATGTTGGCGACAATTCTGGCATACTCCTCTCGATCTTGTGTGGTTCTAAAGAGTGCATGGGCATCGAGATTTGTCCAATCCCTTATGTTTTTAAGCCATGAGTATTTCTTTCTTCCAATGCTTCGTTTTCCTTCTATCTACCCTTCCATAATAAGCGTTAAGAATTGGTACTCGGAATTTCAAAATATACGACCCAGATAAGCAGTTTTTCTTCTTTTTATTATTGGCAGCAATTCTCGTTCTCTGCCCATTCGATTTAATACTTCGACATTTGTTGTGTGATCTGTCCACGGAATTTTAAGTAGTCTTCTAAATACCCACATTTCAAAGGCCTCCATCACTTTGGCCTTTATGGTCTAGGTTTCTACACCATATAGCAGTATGCCAAGAAGCCTAGAGTCTAGTATTACCTAAAGGTACTAACTTCGTAACGTTTTCATTTTTAGTCACAAATGCTTTTAAATATAGATTCTGCTGTACCACGAAATGTATATGCCATCCCGTAAACTGCTTAAATTTCGCCGAATTACGCCGTACTTTCAAGTTTCCATATAACTAATTTCGCCTAGTTAAAAAGTTACCTATTATTTCTGCAGTATAATTTGTTTTGTGTTATAAACACAGACGACGTACTTTCTGTCTATGTTTATACATTTCGTGTTAAGTGATTTACTTTGATGGTACACAAGGCAAATATCGAACACAGTAGTTAATCAAATCTTGCCCAAGTACTTTCGATCACAAGATCATCCTCAGGGGCATCTGAAATAAGCCAAGAAACGTTTTTTTAAAAAAAGGAAAATTAATTCACTTGGATAAAAACTCCAAGTTTATAGTTGAAAAAAGTTTTTTATGTGATTAAAGTTTATAGACTTACTTCGTCAGTTGTGGCCTATCCAGCAGTAATAGAATGTTATAAATGTAAATTGGGACATAACAAATACACTAAACAAAGACAAACAAACACTTTAAAATTTAAGAAATGGAGAAGCTACATTTTATATAGAAGCCGGAGACAGAATGGCTTCCAACCTGGCGGAAATATTGAGATGACATGTGACAAATGACAGCTTGTGAAGGTCAGTTACAATAGATAAGTGATCTGCGCCTTTCAAGATTCTATGAAACTAAGTATTGACCAAAGGTCCAACTGACACCACTATAGGAAATCAACTGATGAAATATAAATTATATCGAATATTTTTAGGTAGATTGAATAATCCAGATCTCACACTCAAACCTGCCTATAATAATTAGGATGTTAGTTTGAGAGCAATTGAAGTTGACATAAAGTATGAATGTAAGAAATAGACTAAACAATATATTAGACAGTGGATAGTTGACTACAATAAAATGGTCCACTAAGCGCTATCAGTACTGTAAAAAGAAAATCTGAATATTCAGTTGAATTGCTAAAAATTAAAATCAAACTTAAAAGCAAAATATATAAATGGGTTATACTCCAAGTAGTTCAGTTGAATCCACAGTCAATGGAAGAACTTTCAAATTAATATGTAAATACTCAGTGCATGAAGTCTAAACAGTCGAGCAGGGCCCTCTACGAGATGGAGCTGTAATAAAGTTTTTAAATATAGGATTAAATTTAGTACAATTTAAATTAATTTGAGTATTAAGACAGTGAGAGTTTTCATTTGTTTCCCTTGTAATCTCCAAATCTTCCAATAAATCCAACTCAAGATAGTTTTTCTTTCTACTAATGTCATGTAAGATAGATGAACCAGAATGGATGTTAAAATTGTGGTTGCTGGATACTAAGTGTTGACCAAAACTTGAAGAGTTTGGTCTTTTCAAATGTTCAGAGACTCTAGTGGATAACTTTCTGATGGTTCTACCTACATAAGAGGCCACAATCATCACATTTTAATTTGTAAATACCACTTTTATCAAGTGTATTCATCCTATCTTTGGTATTGATTAAGAAGGAACCTAAAGTGTTATGTGATTAAAATTTGCCTTGTGTACCATCAAAGTTCATTTATTCGAACATTCAACCTTATATTGATTTAAGTGATTTAGTTAAATATAAATAATTATAAACACCGAGATTTAGAGCTGAGTTGTTTTGGCATCCTATGACGACCGAGGCCTTTGTTAAGTACAGTTTTGTGTTAATAATGAAAATATTGAAAGACATATCTTTGTAGAGTTCTACCGTGGGGGTGCATCCAGAGGCTGGCCACAACTTCAAGTAATTGTTGTAATATAATAATATACGTTGTAAATCATTCTTCACTTTCAGAGACTAGTATTGCGTCGTCTGCATAGCAGATTATTTTAAGTTGTTTTTCTTCCATTTGGTATCCTTTTTTAGTTCTTACTTTTTTATTATTTCAAATCATAATCAGGTTGAACAATAGAGGACTCAATGAATCTCCCTGTCTTACTCCATTGCCAGCTTCAATAGGGTCGGTTAGTTCTTCTTCTACTTTTACTTTTATCGTGTTGTTTTGGTAGATATTTTCGATCGTTTTGATTATTCCTACAGGTATCTCTCTTGCCTACAGTAAGTGGATACCGTTTTTTAATGTGACCCGGTCAAATGCCTTTGTAAGGTTCATGAAACATAATTATGCCGGTTTGTTGTATTCTAATGATTTCTTTTGCACTTGCCTCATTATAAATATAGCGTGGGTACATGATCTTCCCGACCTAAAACCTTGTTGTTCTTCTGCTAGTGTTATCATTTTATTCAATTTATTTGTTATCACTTTGGTTGTTAATTTTAGTGTTGAATTTTTCCTTAATACTTTCTTTACCTCTTCCTGATGATTAATAATGAAGAAATTAATGTTTAGAGAAGAACTGTCCGACGACGACTGGTCGAGGAGAGTCTGCTAGGTCGCTGGTTTATATATGAAGAGAAAGAGCCAATGGACCAAATAACACATTATGACGGTTGAAGACTGGAGTCGAGTACGTACAACTTTTTTAACGAATGGAGTTTGTGGACAGCGAATATTATCATTTTTACAGGTATGCTTCTCTGACAAATCAACATTCCAGTTTTTTGGTGGACAAAAGTACATTCGTCCGACGACGTCCAGGGGAGCAGTTCCATCCAGATTGTATTGTGGAGATGGTTAAACCTCCGGTTACTGTCATGGTGTGTTCTGTAATCTCGACCAATGGTATGGGATGCTTATACATCGTGGAAGGGACAAAGAGCAGGGTCAGTATAAACGAGTACTTGAAACTCGGCTACTGCCTCAGCTCAAAGTGTGGTTCCCTGGTGAAAAAAATTACATTTTTATGCATGATTCTGCAACGTGCCACAAAGGCAGGAGTGTAACTGCATTTCTGACCAAAGAAAATATTGCAGTGCTGAAAATATAGAGAGCATGTGGGGCGAAGATTTTATCACCATGTAGCAGTAGTTGATTGAAGCCCTTTTTAAAAAATGGCACCATAACCCCAATTTAAAAAATAACGCAGAAGCTTGTATTCAGAGCAAGCACCAACGCGTAGAAGCTGTAATTGCAGCAAAGGGTGGCATCACTAAATATTAAAATTAGGGATTTTATGTTACAATTTCTTTTGCGAAAAAAATAAATAAAAAACAAGACTCATTTGGTGACTTAAATAACACACTCTCTTATACAAAAAAATGCAAGCCTTAAAGCCAACTACTTGCTAAAAAAATTCAGTTTATCTAGAAAATTAAGAAATCATTTTACTGTTCCTAATATTTTGGCCACCCATTGTATATTAAGCCCTAAACACTCAGACCATTCTGTGGCTGTATTCAGAATCTGTATTATATCTCTGACTGTACTATTAAATCTTAAATATCGATAATTTTGTAATTTTACTGTTTATTTATATATTGTCCCGGTCTAATATTGACTAATTTTGGACTGTGAGTCTCTCAATAGATATATTATCGAATGGAATTGGTTTTGGTGAGCTACAGATCTAGTATATCTCTAAACTGAAGTTATATAGTTTACTTACCCTTGCCAATTTATCCGGAATTAACTCATCAAGTTGTGGCGCATCCGCTTCCACGTCACATTGTTGCCGAGATTTGTGATGCTGGTCTCTCTTTACTTGTGCTTCTCTCGCTTGCGCGCTCTCTTGTTCCGCCTTCCTTCTTGCTTTTCGCTGTTTGTTCCTTAGTTTCTTCAATTCCGATGGCGCAAGGTTTTCTAGAATAGAAAAAAAATTTCGTTAAATTTATTTAAACATAAAATAATTGTTCAATCATTGCAATGGAGCAGCAGTTCGACTATTGTCTAGATAACCGCTATTGTTTTGTGAGGCGAGCAGTATGATCTGCTCAACCAGTAAATTAAGCTTTAAGCTACATTGAAACCCGTAGTTGAACACCGGACCCCACTGCCCATCATCCCTATCCTTTTCATAGATTCGTTGGGATTGATTGTAATGATCCTCCTTATCATCACAGCCAATTAACAAGACGCAATTTATGACATCTTTATGACGCAATTTGTTACATCTTTCCTATACTGTTGTACGGAGTTGAGTCATGGACTCTCACAGACGCCACCTGCAAGAAAATTGAGGCTTTTGAAATGTGGCTTTATTGTCGCATCCTGAAGATATCGTATACCGACCACGTTACTAATGAGGGTGTTCTGTTGAGAATGAAAAAAGAAAAAGAGCTGTTAACCACAATAAAAACAGCCAAAATCGAATACCTCGGTCAAATCATGAGGAACAGCGAAAGATATGGACTGCTGCAACTAATCTTGCAGGGAAAAGTAGAAGAAAAACGGGGACCAGGAAGGCGAAGGATTTCCTGGCTGAAAAATCTACGAACGTGGTTCAAAACAACAACAACAAATCTTTTTAGAGCAAAGTGCAGATTGCCATGATGGTCGCCAACATCCGAAACGGATAGGCACTACAAGAAGAAATTTATAACAATTCTAATAACACAGCAATACTTCACTATAAATACAAGAGATGTGCCCGTTAAAAACTACAGATCTTGGTATGATTATTACCGACAATAAAGGATATATAAAAGTATGCAGTAGTAATCTTGGATTACGAGTGACAACTGGAAGCATTTGGGATATGGACCTATAGAAGGATATTAAAAATAAGTTGAGTAGGCAGAGTAACGAATGCTAAATTCATCAGAAAAATAAAAATGGAAAAGTAAGTTATGGATAAGATTGAGATAAGAAAATTGCAATACACCAATTGCATTATAACCGGTTGGAACTCCGGGAAAAGCAAAGGCTGCAGTTCGTAGTGCTGTAAAGGACTGGAGCAGAGAGAGTTATGAGCGATGTTGGGAAAGCATTCCAAAATAAACACATGGAAAAATCTTCATTGGTGGACCACGTAAAAAACTGGGCATACGGGCAGGAACAAACTGAGAACAGTAACAGGAATGTTGACTGGGCATGCACCAGTAAGAGAATTCCTGAATAAAATAGAAATGACAAAATGACATTTATAATGGAGACCTTAACTGCAGATTCTGTGACAAGGAACTAGAAACTGTATGACATGTATCATGCGATTGCGAGAGGCTGGACCGTAAAATACAAAAACTGTATTTAGCAACTGACCTGACTAGTTCTGCTACAAATTCGATTTCTTTGGTCCCAAGCCACCATTACACCCTCGTATTTTCTGATTGAATTGTTTTATGTTTTGATAAGAATTTCAAAAACAATCCTATTTCATATAGTAATTCTTTTCGTGCCATAAAGCCAAAATAAAGTAATTTATATACATTTTTAATTTTATATTAAATTGCTACACAAACAATAGTTTTCTGCATTAGTAGATTATATTTCTCATCTGTCACTAGAAATTCCTTTAATGTATTTTCACAACGGTTTCCAAGACACGAATACCATTTTAAGAGATCGTATCAAATACTATGTATAAATAATAAGAAATATAAATCATTTACTACAAAACAATCCTACCAATATACTTAAATCGTTACAGTTTTTGCCGTGAAAGGTGTGGTCAAGGTTTTATTACTCGTACCTCAATTATGATTTACCTCAAAGGTAAACTTCAGTAATAAAATAAGTTATTTCCAATTCCTTTGTGTAAGCTTTTTGTCTGTTGCTATTTTAATGCAGAATGATTTAGCAAATGCTTTGATTGGATTGGTAAAAGGTTCTCGTAGCTTGTAAAAATTTATGTTCTCCAAATAGTGGTGGCATATGTGGTAATAAGATTATTGTTATAAAATGTATTGACACGTTAGGTGTCACTAAACTGATTGCGGGCGTCTCAACTTTTCTATTCAAAAATTAAATAACATATCTCATATTAAATTTTTCATTTTCGCAGTTGGTAATACTTATAAAAATATATTGGTTTCTTCCTTAACCTTGCAGACGTTGCATTTTTCATGTATGGGAAACGAAATATTATATTGTAAGCAATGACATCCATGATGATTCCATAATTAGTGACAAATAAACAGAGACTAAACAGGTGGGCGAATCATTTTGAAGAACTTCTTAGCGACAGTGAAGAAGACCAAATAGAAATTACCATGCCTGAAATGGATGAAAACGCTCAAGAGTCGCCTCCCACCGAAGGGTAAAGGGTTAAAAAACTGAAAAATAACAAAGCCCCTGGTTTGGCCAATCTTCCTGTCTAACTCTTTCAAAATGGTGGTGACACCCTTTTTAAACAGATGCATAAATTAATAATCGAAATCTAGCTATGGAAGGAAACGCCTGCAGACTGGAAATTAGGCGTAATGCACCCTCTTCACAAAAAAGGAGATATGATGGTGTGTGATAATTATAGAGGCACCCTACTTAACGTGGCATATAAAGTATTGTCCAATAAATAGTTGGGAACTACCAGTGCGGTTTCCGACCCAATAAATCAACAATGGATCAAATCTTCAGTTAGGCAGATTCTTGGGAAAACGCTTGAGTTCGGAGTCGATACCCACCACATATTCGTGGATTTCAAAGCCGCATACGACTCATTTAACAGGCAAAAACTTCTACAGGCTATGGTGAAATTTCAACTGCCGCTTCATCTTGTTCAACTGACCAAACTTACACTCACAGGCGTAGAGAGTGTAGTCAGAATCCAAAACGAATTTTCAAGACCCTTCCATTGTAAAAATGGACTGAGACAGGGAGATGGACTGTCGTGTCTCTTATTTAACCTTGCGCTAGAAAAAGTAATTCGAGAGTGCCATATTAATCCGAATGGCACCATGTTTAATAAATCTGTACAAGTGGTCGGATATGCAGATGACATAGACATTATTGCTAGGTCCATAGAATCTCTGATCGAAGCATTTCGATCATTAAGGGCGTCTGCACTGAGAATAGGATAAAAATAAACGCACAGAAAACCAAGTATATGTATTGTACTAGATCAGGCAACCAGATACTTAGACTATCAATTGATGATCTGGAACTAGAAGGTGTGGACACCTTCGTCTACCTGGGCTCGCTGCTGACCAAAGACAACAATGTCAGTGAAGAAATTAAAAGAAGAATAGTGCTTGCCAGTAAGTGCCATCATGGCTTGAGGAAACAGATGGTCTCAAAACTACCCAGAAAAATTAAAATTAGCATATATAAAACACTAAGGCCAGTGTTAACATAAGGGTCAAAAACGTGGTCACTTACACAGAACGACCAAGAATTGCTTAAACGTTTCGAGAGAAACACTTTAAGGAAAATATATGGAGTAGTCCAAGAACAGGATTTGTGGCGTAGGCGCTACAACTTGTGAGTTATACAGAAGTTTTGGAGAACCTGACGTTGTAAACTGTAATAAATTAGTACTCCTTCGATGGATAGGACATGTAATTAGGCGAGATAAAGATGCAAAGATCAGAAAAATTTTCGACCGAAGAGGACCAGTGGGAAGAGGATCCAGAGGAAGACCAAAACTTAGGTATCAAGATAACATAGGGGATGATCTAAAACCCATCGGATTTAAAGCATAGAGAAGAATTGCCAGAGACAGGGACGAATGGAAGATTGTTCTGAAGAAGGCTTTGGCTCATGACGAGCTGTAATGCCACTGATGATGATGAAGCAATGACATCATAAGAGACCAGGCCCATAATATTTGAGTTTATCGTCTGGCTTTTAAAACAAAGAATGTGTTTAGTTTAGTAATCAATCAGTCACAATTTGCATCGATCCGCGATACATACAAAAATACCTCGCCTTCGAGCATTAATTACGTTTTACGAAAATAAATACGTTTTATTCGACACTATTATTTTTATTTTGTTTCCGTGGAAAATAAGTTTATCATACACACATCCACACAACCACGGAACATTGGTGACCCCGCGAACGTTTAAAAAGAATAGTGTTGATAATATACTTTTGCCGGCTATAAAAGTGAATCTGAATCTGAAAAGTGAAAATGCCAGATAGTGCCAATAATAGTGCTACAGGAGTGGATCGCATAACAGTGAAAATCCCACTATTCTGGGCCAGCGATCCCGAAATATGGTTTCTGCAAGTAGAAAACCAATTTGCACTAGCAAACATTACAAGTGACGCAACAAAATTAAATTATATAGTTGCTAATCTAGAAACGGCATACATATCCGAAGTGACAGACATCCTTGTATCACCACTAACTACAGACAGGTATGTAAACTTAAAAACAGAATTAATTAAGAGACTCAGTGCATCAAAAAAAAATTAAAAGACTAGTCGAGCATGAAGAATTTGGCGATCGAATACCTTCTCAACTCTTACGACATTTGCAGTCTTTAGCAGGCACAACGGAACCAAATAATATAATAAGATCTCTGTGGTTAGATATACTGCCATCCCCTAAATATCTCCTAAATAGGCTATTTTAACTACCCAATCAAATGTTGATTTAGACACAGTTGCCGAGCTAGCAGATACAGTTTTCGAAGCCGTAGCTGCTAGAACACAAATTTCGGAGATGGTCACTGCTCTTGAAAGCACTATCGGTCGATTAACAGCCGAATTAGCTGGAATGAAAATTCAGCTAGTTAACATCGCAACTGCTCAACCACAAACTAATACATACCGTCGTAACCGTAGCACCTCAAGAGAAAGACCATACCATAAAAACAGAAGCCACAGCAGGGAACATAATATGACATATATGTTGGTATCACTACCGTTTTGGTGATAGTGCTCAAAAGTGCACATCTCCATGTAAGCACCAGGAAAAC